AGCCTGGAGAGGGATGGCACGAGACAAATGGTTTGGGCACTGTCGTCGGTCCATCCCCTCCAGGTTACCTAGAGGCAGACAGGCTACTGGGCTAGATGGACCTTTGGTCTGACCCAGGACGGCCATTCTAAGCTCAGAGCTCAGGGTCGGGGGGCTCATTGGACCCCCTTGATTCTCTTGCACACCTGCTCATGAGTGGCCAGGCTGGCAACTCTCCTGCCCTAGCTGGCCACTTTCCTGTGCCTAGTGCGGAGATCGTGGACAAGGTCCACGATGTCCACACTAGCCCAGGCGGGTGCCTGCCTCTTGTGGTCCCGGGCAAGCTCCCGGGAGCCGCCAGCCTAGTCCCGGGAAAAGGGGGAGGGCTGGGGGGCATCGAGTGGGTGGCTTGATCCGTGCCATGTGCAGGGATTTGCTGGCTGGGTGCTGGCAGGCTTGCACCTGGCACGGGCACTGTAGCCAGCCTGTGCCCCTTTAAGGGGTCCGGGACCGGGAGGGGGGCAGACGAGTTTCCCTGGTGTTGGCCAGAGGGGAAACCTGGGGAGGGCTAGCTTCCCACTAGTTCGAATTAAGGGGCTACACACCCCTTAATTCAAACTAGCTAGTTCGAACTAGGCTTAATCCTCGTGGAATGAGGTTTTCCTAGTTCGAACTAAGCGCTCCATTAGTTCGAATTTAATTCGAACTAATGGAGCGCTAGTGTTACACCTATGAAAGTTAGTTTGAACTAACTTTGTAGTGTAGACGTACCCTAAGAGGGTAGGGGCCTGCAGACAAACAGGGAGTGTGACCCTCAAATTTGGGGACTACTGCCTTAAAGATTACCTATCAAAAGTTTAAAAACAGTGCAGTAAGTTGGAAACTTGACGGTTTGGCCTTAAACCATGACTAGAACCAACTCTCAGCATTTTGTTTGCAATGTGCACTATACTGAAGAGATCCTTACCCTAAATAGCTTATATTAAGAGTCCTGTAAATTCAGGAGCCTCATCTTTGAAGCTGAATGTTTAATTGCCTAAAATAAAATTCAAAACTTAACTCATTTTTATTGCTGCTTTCCTTCACATCACATGAGAGAGAGAGAGCAGGGACTTTCTTTGTTACTCTATAAAACACTGGATGCTGGTGCTAATACTGGAGTCTTAGTATGCTCTTAACTTGGTGCTCACTAGAAGTCTTGCCTATTAGAGGCTTAAGGTCAATTTGCAAACGTGGTGGTGAATTTGGAAGTCAAGGCTTTGGAGAGGAGTCTCTTGATCCCATTTGGCAGTGTCTGGTCATCTTGGTCACACACATTAGTGATTCTTGGATATAAAAGTAGCTGCACAAGGGTTTATTATCCTTTATAGCTGTGGTGTCCAATACACTTAGCCACCTGTGTCTAGTTGGCTGGTTAAGTGTGGCTAGTTTGCTATAGCATAACTGACTGGACACCATGGCTCTCTAGGCTATACGCTATTAATATATTTAATGATGGTGTGCCTTCGTTTCCCCTCCTACCCCATTCCCTTTGTGGAGAACAAAGTGAGCTAAATGGTCCTTGTCTTACCATCTCACCTGTGTTAACCACAGACATTTGATAGAATGTTTATCAAAATGGTGTAATCATTTGGTTAGCCCATTCTCCTTCATGCTTGGAAGTAAACCAAAAATATTCTAAACATGAAAAATTTAGCTCTCCTGTTTCACTTTGTTTTTCAAGTCTACCCCCATTCCATATTTAAGATGGCAGCATGTTTGAACTGTAGAAGACCTAAACAGATGACAATTTTGTTTTTCAGACTTTATCTTCCTAGAAATGAGTTGGATAACCCTCATAAATCAAAAATGTGGAAAATCTACAGGGAGAAGTTTGCAGTGGAATTGAACTTTGTAGAACCATGAGAACTTGACAGCAATTGTTTAAATTGAGTTGATGTTTTGCTCAATCATGTTTTGTCTTCACCAAACGTGGTGGCATCTTCTGACAGTCTCCTTCCTCATGTATTTCATGTGTATTTGTATGGAGATATAGCATCTCAAAATTAAATGTTGAAACAAGAAAAACCTCTTGTACATGCTGTCATCTATAGTTTGTGATATTCTGTGAAGGATTTCATGTGTTTAAAAACACAGTTGCACTATGCATAGTACAAAAGTACTGACCTTCTGGATTTGAGTCCATTCCTCATTTTTTTTTTTACAGTAGCCACATTTAAAAACCAAGCCCAGAATGCAAACTACCATATGCATGCTGTTTACAAACAATAGCCAATCTTACTAGCCAATCTTACTGGGATTTGTACATCTGGTTTCAAATGGGGAGTGGATGTGTGCAATCCTAATGGATAAGGAAGCCTGTAAGGCAGGGGTTCTCAAACTTTGTGATACCACAACCCCCCCTCTAAGTTGCTGGCGACCCCCCCCAGGGGGACCCACAGTTTGAGAAATGCAGCTGCAAGGGCACGTCTACACTTGCACTGATATTTCAAGATATTGGATGTATCCTGAAATAGCTACCCTATGTCTTAACACGCTGCCCATTATTTCAAAATATTTTTTGAAATAAGGGTGCACTATTTTGGCATCCCTTTAACCCTCGTTCCACAAGAGTTAAGGGATGTCTTGAAATAGTGTTATATTGAGTATTGGTGCCATGTAGAAATTATTGAAATAAGATATACACAGTTCTATGCAATTTGCATATCTTATTTTGAGTTTAGGGTACTGAGTAGATGCACTCTAAGGGAATGTTGTCCCCCTACAAATGGCTGGAAAACAGCCACCTTGTAATAAAGGGAAAAAAACAAAGCTGTGGAACTGAGATCTTTGCAGGGTTTTAACTAGTTCCTTTTGCCATCATGTTCAAGAATCACCATAGCTTGAGTGGACAGATTATACGTGAGACCCACTGACCTAGCAATTACTATTGAATGTGCTGATTTGGGGGGAGGAGGGGGAGGAGAACCCACTTTAGGTTTTTCTCTCCTGCTAAGCCAAGCTCCAGAGTAAGATGGTTGCTCTGGGCCAGGGCCCTATGAGCAGGTACAGCAAAGGTAGGCTAGACATAAGGAATGTCAACTCTGTGCTGGTGTAAATGTAGCTCCCAATAAAGAAATTGTGCAACCTCCACACCTTTTTCCCAGAGGTGTATCCTTCCTCTCTTGGACAGTAACTTAATTGTTTCTGATGTTTTGGGGGTTTGAAGGCTTCAGAAAGCTTCCACCCTTTTCAAGTTTGAGACCATAAGGAGGCAGTGTATGTAGCTCTTGCTCCCCCAATACCACACTCCCTTCACTTGTCAGCTTTATAGTCTATGGGCTCAGGAAGACAAGCCTTCCAGCTGAAGGCTAAGGTGCTTACTGTATATCTGAGTGTACCTGTGCCATTGTAATTTAGAATGACACATACTTATAATACAGGTGTAGGTGGAGCTTTTATAAACCATGTGCCATGGGAGCTGAAATCTGAGAAGCTTGACAGCATCTTCTTGAGTACATTCTGAAATTCAGGGTTAATGTGTAAGCATTCTGTGATACAACTATCCTGTTTAACTGGAGATCTGAAGCAGAGGCTGAGTGAGATGCCCAAGGCTATTAAGTACAGGTCAGTCAGGATGAGAACTGAAGGCCTGCCTTAGGGACCAGTTGCCTGTGGCACCATGCAGAGATATACTGCAGGTGTAGTCAAACTGCCCTTGGAGTGCCTAGATTTTCCCTCCTCCCCCCCCATGGGTATGTGTGCTGGTGGTGGGGCAATAAGGCCAAGTTCTGTGTGTCCCAGTCAGTTGCCTTACGTGGGCTGTGATCTGAGGCAAGCATCAGAAGCTGCTGCTGCTCTGCCTTTACGCAGCCCAAGTGGGGAAAGTGACCAGTTTGCAGTGAGTCCAGATATTGTTTCCTGTTCTTTTCCCCCAACTCAGCCTCTTAGTGGTGTAGAGCAGTTTTGGGGAGAGGGAGAAAGTAGTACCAGCTGCTCTGTGCATCCAGATCAGTTTCTGCACATAGCTGCTCTCCTTCTCCACATCCAAGGCAGGAGTACAGGGATCAGGGGCAAAGGGGGACAGTTCCAGGGTGAAGGGGGGGGGGTAGGGAATCTGAGAAAACAAGGACTAGGGAGGGCTATGCCCACAGAGGCCAGAGCCCCAAAACTACAAGTTTATTCAGAGTGCCTTTTTTCCTGAGGCCAGCTATGGAAGCTAGTCTGGTGACGTGCCTTCCATTAACAATCCCTAGAAGTAAAATATAGTGGCTATGGGCACTAAAGGACATAATCACTTTAAGAAATTACCACAAATGCTGGTTGTCCACAGACAATTTTCAAACATGGAGGCTTTGGACTTTGACTTCAGTGGGTGGGCATGAGGCTGCCAGCAGACTGTTTGGCCCACCAAGCTACCAGATCCAGCCCATGGCTGCCTTGCTGGGACTCTTTAAATACAGTGCAGTGCTAGCTGCTTTAATGTGTACACTCTAATCTGGGATGGACACCTTGTGCTGTCCCATACCTTAGCAAAATCTCTGAACTCCCATTGGCCAGTTTCCAACCAATAGCAGCTGAGATGTTTTGCTGGTGGCAGGGACTGCCAATGAAGCCTCCTCCCATCCCTTCATCCTGCCAAGAGCAGAGCCACATGGAACAGCTTGTGACTGCAGCCTTCAGGCTCCTGCAAGGCTGCTGACTAGCAGCTGCCTAGGCAAGCACCTCCCAGACAGAGCCTGCCTCTGGCATCCTACCCCCTCTATATCACACCTTCCTGCAGGTCACAACTTCCTCCCAGACTCTGTACCCCCTCTTAGAGCCCCTCCCTCAGGCTAGAGTCCTCACCTGCATCCATGCACCTTCGTGGATGCTGCAGCCCCAGAGCACAATCTCCTCTTTCACCTAAACTCCCTCCCAGATTCCACACCCCCTCCTACACCCTCTCTTACCCCAAGCCCCCTTCTGCACCTAACCTTTGTCCCAGACCTCAAGCCCTCATGGTAGAAATTAGACCCTTAACCACTTCCCAAAGTCTTAGTGTGGGCCCCCCATTAAAAATAATTGCTCACCCCTGCATTAATCAGCATTGACTCAAGTTAGAAGTCCTACCAGGATGTGTTTTAATAAAATAAGGGCACAAATTGCATCTACATACATTTTGTTTTTTTTAAACCCATCTACTAGTTAAAGTTTATGCTGGTCTACTTTTTTCTAGTTTCCTGCCCTTTCAACACAGGGATGTGACTACCAAAGGCAGCCTTTAACCTAGATTATTTTGTAAGATGACTATGAAAGAGGCCACTAGGTAGTGACTGCAGTGATTGTTCTTGGTCACCACGCAATTAAACTTTATTACTTTAAGCAATATGAGTAGTAGCACCAGTTGATGTTGGAGTAGAAGGGTGCAACCCAATCCCTATGGACATATGAAAGGGATCATGGGGTAGTTGGTGCTATTGTAAGCATTTGGCTTATTTGGATGTTCCCTTGTCTAAAATGAGCAGTAATAAGACATCACCCTGCTGGCAACCTTTTGGGACTAGATAAGGTGGTGGATGTATTAGAGCAGTAGCTCTCAACCTTTCCAATCTACTGTACCCTTTTCAAGGGTCTGATTTATTTTCCATAACCTACATTTCACCTCACTCAACTACTTGCTTACAAAAATCAGACATGAAAATGCAAGTAGTACAGCACACTATTACTGAGAAATGGCTTGCTCTCTCATTTGTCATACAATATAAATTGATAAAATATCTTTTCAGCATGTAAAACATCGCTATCACACTTCAGTTTCTACTTTATGTAGCTGGTTATAAAACTAGGCAAAATATCTGGATGAGTTGATGTAGCCCCTTGGAAGGCCTCTGTTCACCCCAGGGATACACATACCCCTGGTTGAGAACCACTGTATTATATCTACAAGTAGACCCTTTCCTTGAAGTGTCAAAGATGGTAGCTAGCACCAGACATACCCAACTTGCAAAACTATAGAAGATAATGGCAACATATAGACTCACAAGTTAAACATAAGGGAAGAGGTTTTTTGTTTGGTTGGTGTGTGGGGGGAGATGGTAGGGGGAAAGAAAGGTATCCAGTTTGCAAGACCCATTCTGCTTCAATGTTTTCACATTACTAGGGAAGCTACTGGTGGCACAATTAATGACTACTCTTTTAAACACTATTAAAACATAGTTTAAGTATTAGCTATGCATTGTTTAAATAATTCAGGAAACAACCTCTGTTCTACCTTTCCTTGTACAGTAGAGAAACTGAGGGTCTCTCAGTAGTTTGAGGTAAAAGAGCTGTAAAATTCAAGCAGCTGGCTGTTTCCATTGCATACCCCCACTAAGGACTCACGTACACATGAAAGTGAATCCAGAACAACATACGGTATGAATTTAAAGCAGATTAACTACTCCTGATAGGATGTCTAAAGTGGATTAAAATAATCTGGAATAAGATTTATTCCAGAATCAATACATCCACAGATGAAACTGTTCAAGAGTAACTAGCTACATAGACAGACCCTAAAAACAGTTAATGAAAAAAGCAGTACTACTTTAATGCACCAGTGCTATGTGGTAGTCAGCTGTGTTTGCTACCAATGATAAATGAATCATACTTCTTGTACCATGGTCATTACAGCACTACAGTTTTTTAAATTTGACATTAACTAACTGAAAGATCACTGCCCTGTATGCTGTGTATCACTTCTATCAGGACAACATAATTAAGTCTCTTTAGCAGCACAATAGGTGGAAAGAGTTTAAAAACATGTCTCCACCCTCCTCAAAAAACAAAAAACACCTTTAAAAACCACACACAATGTCTACAAAATTTGTTCACTTTAAAAAATTTTTTAAATCCTAAATTGAACCGAGTTTCTCAAATGATAATGTCACACTGTTAGTTTTGTATCCATTCAAGCCCTGAGATGATTTACAGTTCTTTTTAAAACGGCTGACCTAAACCTGCTGTAAGATTTCAGAAGGCATCAACCTGTTCCATCATCATCTTGCGGCTGTACTCATAGGCAAGAAACAGTGCACCATTGGCAGGGAATGCACGAATCAAAGTAGGCTTTAGTCCAGAATACAAGGCAACTACTCCTGCAAAATGAAACGAACTGGTTATGTGCATGTTAAATTTTTACAAGACTTACCATCTACAACACTAGTGCTCTCGTCTCCAGAAGTCATGTGGAATAACTTAAAATAATCAGGGTAACTAGAAGAATCAAGATGCAGAGAGAACTCATTGAGATCGGAAGTTGTGGAGGCCAACAACTCAAGATTCAAGAAAAGACTGGACATCTAGATGGATTAATATCCAGAGTCATCTCAATAAAATTTTGGAAAGTATATTAGAGATTTGGAAAAGACCTAATGTGGGGCATAGCTTGCCCCACATTTTCCTGCTACAGGGTTCTAACAACTTCCTCTGAAGTATCTCGCACTAGTCACCATCAGATACACAATCCTGGACCTTGGATCTGACCCCATATGGCAATTCCTATTTAACTGTGCATCTAGTAATGTAAAAGTTACTGTTTTACAAATTCTTCAGAAATAGATTCTTCACAAATGATCAGGAGAAAGGGGTAACCAGTGAGGTGGCAAAATTTGCACAGGATACTAAACTGCCCAATACAGTTAAGTTCAAAGCAGACTGAAGAACATCAAAAGGGTCTCACAAAGGTAGGTGACTGGGCAACAAAATGGCAAATGAAATATGTTAAGTGCAAAGTAATGCACATCAGAAAACAGAATCCCAACTACCTGTATAAAATGGTGGGTAAATTAGCTATTTCCACAATGACTCAAAGATCTCTTGAGTGGTTAGTTCCCTGAAAACATCCAGCAGCGGCAACCAAAGCAGCAAATAGAATGTTAGGAATCATTAAAAAAGGGATAGAGATTAAGACAGAGAATGTCTTATTGCTACTGTGTCAATTAATGGTACGCCCACAGCTTGGAACAGACGTGGCTAACCTCATCTCAAAAAAAGTTATCTTGGCATCAGAAAAAGTTCAGAAAAGCAGCAAAAATGAATAAGGGTTTGGAACAGCAGCCATATGAGGAAAGATGAATAAAACTGGGACATTTCATCTTAGAAAAGAGGAGAGTAAGGGGTGGGGATATGACAGAGATCTATAAAATCTTGACCCATGTGGAAAAATTAAAAAAGGAAATATTATTTACTTGCTCCCATAACAAGAATTAGGGGTTACCAAATAAAATGAATAGGTAGTAAGGATGTAAATCCTGTTTAATTGATTAACTGGTTAAACATATTGCTTAACCGGTTAACCAATTAATAGGAGTGTATGTGTGGATCATTCTAGCCTGGCTACAACGGTTCCACTGCAGGGCTGTAACAGCCCCCACAACTGTAGGCAGGGGCTGGTCAGGTCCTGCCCAGCCCGAACAGGCCCTGCCTGCGCCCCACCCTGTTGCAGGCAGGGATTGCATTGGCCTCAGGCAGGGGTTGCTCCGGCGTCCCAGTCAAAGCAGACCCTGCCTTCAGGGCAGCCGAGCCCACCACAGACGGACAAAGGCTGCTCCGGCCATAGCAGCCTCTGTCCATGGCAGACCCCCCATGGGGCTGGAGCAGCCCCCTGCCTGCAACAGGCAGGGAGCTGCTCTAGCCCTCTCCAGTTTACTGGTAAGCCTCACTCTTAAGGTTAACTGGTTAAACATTCACATTCATAAAAGGTAGCCGGTTTAAAGCAAAGCAAAGGAAATATTTCTTCATACAACACACAGTTGACCTGTGGGACTCTGCCACAGGATGTTGTGAAGACCAGGACTTTAACAGTGTTCAAAAAAAGAACTAGATAAATTCATGGAGGTTAGTCCATCAATGGCTATTAGCCAGGATGGGTAGGAATGGTGCCCGTAGCCTCTGTTTATCAGAAGCTGGGAATGGGTGACAGGGGAGGGGATCACTTGATGATTGGGGATCACCTGTTCTGTTCATTCCCTTTGGGGAAACTGTCAGTAGCTACATTTGGAAGACAGGATATTGGGCTAGATGGACCTTTGTTCTGACCCAGTATGGCTATTCTTATGTTATCTACTTCTAGCACCAGCTTGTAGTTTCAAAGGTTAAACAACACGTTAATAATTACAGAACACTAGGTGCATTTACTCTTTAACAGGTAAGACACTGCAGTAAGTACTGAGTGATGGCTTCTGCAGTACAACTGTGAGTACTGTAGCAGATGCATTAAGCCTGAACCTGTGAAAGCAGTTTCTGTATTATTGTTAGCATAAAGATCGTTTAGTAGCATCATTTCCTGGGTTGGAAGAATTTCACAAGAATTTTAAATTGTGGTCTACAGAAAAGGAAATAGTGTAATTAATTCCCTTTAGCTTCTTAACAGATTAGGTTTCAGAACAGATTTTCCATACTCGAGTGAAAATTTGACATGAGCCTGGAGGTTCAGTTTGTACTGGACACGCTTACCTTCATGTCGCAAAATATTTGCAAATGTTCCCATGAAGCCTGCCTGTTTTCCAGACATGGAAAGAACTTGAATTCTAGATTTGACACAGTCCACAGGATAAACAGCAATCCATAAGCAGATGCCTCCAAAACCACCACTCACCATCAAAGGAATGGGCCCTAAAAACAAGAAATAAGCTTTTATACACTGTGCAAACTCTCCTAAATCTGATAGTGTTTGTCTGTGTTAGAATAATATGAAAACAAGAAATGCGGAGAGCTTACAAGGAGGTGGAAGTTCCTGTGATAAGCTTGTTCTGTATCACAGAGATAAGACTGAACAAAGTGACTGTGGATTTCTAAAGTATCCTGTCTCCTAAAGCCACGAGCACCCTTTAGCGTAAGAGCTGAAAAGTTTTGCTCCATAGACAAACCTTCACCACAAAGCCTGGGTTAAGGAAAGCAGGTTTCTTTAAACAATATTGTAACATAGGGAAATAGATAATATTTAGTTCAGAAGTGCAACTCACCTGCCAGGTTTGGGAGCTCACCTAGAATGTAAAAAAGTCAAGCAGAGCTTCTACTAGTTCAGGCCAGGACAAGAAAAAAAAAGATGCCAACATTTAATTAATGCTCAAGACAGAATATCATCTCACTCCTGCTGCCACTGCTGGATTAGCTCTGCAGCACTAGCACAAGTAAAAATGTTGTAAAAATGTCTTGAGTAAAGCCAGCAGTTATAACTCTCAGTCAAGAAGTGAAAGTAACTTAAATTTCCTACAGGTACTGTTATTTTGCACCCTCCCTATGGGGGCGGGGTGGAGTGCAGGGAGCTCAAGACAGGAGGTGGAAATGCGGGGAGGAGTTAGAGCTGGAGGGGTGAGGAAGGGCACTATTAGGGCTCCCCAAGATTCATACCAGGACACTGCTGCTGTTCTACTTTGTCACTGCCAGGGAGTAAGAGGAAAGCACATAGCACAGATCACTCACTCTGCCCAACCCCCTCACCAACTAGGAGGAAGAGGGATACAGGTACGCTTTGTAGTTTCCTCTCATTCCCCAGAGGCTATGTCTAGACTGCAGGCTTCTTTCGAAAGAGCCTCTTTCGAAAGATCGTGTCTAGACTGCAGGCGGATCTTTCGAAAGAGAAATCCGCTTTTTCGAAAGAGAGCACCTAGCGAGTCTGGATGCTCTCTTTCGAAGACGGCCTCTTTACATTGAAGAACGCCTTCTTTCGAAAGAGGAGCTTTCGAAAGAAGGCGTTCTTCCTCGTGAAACAAGGTTTACCGCCATCGAAAGAAAAGCCGCGTTCTTTCGAAATTATTTCGAAAGAACGTGGCTTGAGTCTGGACGCAGGGGAAGTTCTTTCGAAAAAAGGCTACTTTTTTCGAAAGAACCCCTGAGTCTGGACACGGCCAGAGTGATGGTCAGGGGAACAGCAGCAAGCAGCATCCGGATATGAATTGCGGAGTGGAGAGGAAGCTTCACCTCCTGCCCTGCAAATGGTGCCTATGGTGTGCTTGGGGTGTATTCCCAGCCAGCCCATTTAACCTGGTTGTCTGCCTGCTGCTTAGCACGGCAGCCTACCAAAAGAGCCTCAGGAGCTAGACGGGGAGCGCATCCTGCCTCCTCCTGCAGCTAAGCGCCCCAGCCAGCTGACGCCTCCTTGCAGCAGCAGTGCACCGGGGCACACTGGCTTACTTTCACCACTTCTTTCCATAAACATGTCTATTGAGTGTGATAGTGTTACAAACCCAGTCCATTTTCAGAATACAATCACATTTTGCTTTTCTGATCAGATTTTATGAAAATACTGTAACAGTGGCCAAAAAGCACCACTTTTTATTACTAAAAGGCAAAATAGTGATGCCGAGTCCTTTCAAAGACAAGTATTTGGCACTTTAATAGCCAAATAGGAAACCATTGGGTCTGTCTAGAATATGCCTCTGATATTAAGTTAGAACATAAGAACGGCCATACTGGGTCGGACCAAAGGTCCATCTAGCCCAGTATCCTGTCTTCTGACAGTGGCCAATGCCAGGTGCCCCAGAGAAAATGAAGTGATCCATCCTGTCACCCATTCCCAGCTTCGGTCAAACAGAGGCTAAGGACTTTTCAGAGCACGGAAAGAGCATTTGTCCAAGAAAGGAATGTAGGAGTTCCAAGAGTTTGAGTTCATAGTGGAATCATACAATTACAATTATAATTGCAATTTCCCATTACAGAGACCCTGTTTTTAGTTGCTTATAATTTGCCAAACTGTTTGGGCTAAAAGTTTTAAATACTCTGTCTTTTTTTCAAGAAACCAAATGTAAAGTTGCTCAGACAATTCTGCCATTTCAAGATTTGTGAGTGATTTAACTTTGTAACACAAAGGTTCTTTTAAAGTGTGTGTGTGTCTGTGTGTGTGAGAGAGAGACACAAAGTAAAACACTGACACACCCACAATCACAAGAACACAATGCCAAGACAAAAAAGTGAACATTTCAAATTCCTTTAAAGACAAGCAAAACTGTCTTTTATTGAACAGTTTGGTGGCGCACAGTGTAGTATCAAACATTCACCAGTTTTTGTACAATGGTATTCTCCTTAACATATCAGCCAAATTAAAGTACAAAACCAAAATGATGCATGTCAAATCTAAATCTTGGGTGTTAATAGTTCCTTATCAGTTATACAAAAAGAGAACGTCATCAGCAGCAAACAAATTGGTTTTTCCTCCCACATCACTAATCTAAAATGCCATCGTTTTTGGTTGCAGTTATACAGCAAAGTGAATAAAAGTACAATTAGCATTGCAGGAGAGATTTGGAGAGTACCGATATGCTACTTTATGTAGTGAGAGATTATCTTTTCCACATAACCACAAGCTGGCACATACCTAGTTGATCTTTTGGTCTCTCTGCTGCAAAAAACGTCCGACTCAGTTCATAGCCTCCAAAGAAGAAGAAATAACCTGGCACTTCCCGAAGTAAAGTGCTTGACAGACCATGGTAGAACCCAAGTGGGCCATCCTTTTGAATAACACTTTTCATTACTGACCAAACTGTACTGATAGAAAGGTTGAAAATTAATGATACTCAGCACTTTTATACCTATTGATCTGCAACATCCCATAAGTTAGTACCGTAAAACCATTACTCCCATTTTATAGATGGGAAAACAGAGGAAAATCATGAATTAATTGAAAGGTCAAAATTAGAACTGAAGAATTCCTGGCTTCAATCATCTGGTTTTGTCACAGGCCTCAGACGGGTACAAGGGTAGCAATAAATAGTATGTCTTCACTACAGGGTTAAGACAGGTGATCAACATTCAGATGTGATCACCTGGGTTAGCCTAGCTCAGGTGTGAGCAGCCATCCTGCAAAGCCCTACTCTGGTTGCTGCTCCACAGTGGAGCTGCACTCCATATGTAGCTAATACTTCTGGGGGCATATCCCATAGTTCTGTGTACTGCAATAAGCTAGGAGGCTGATTCTTTTCCAGTGAATTGTGGGAGGATTTGTCTGGTCCTGAGCACCACACAGGGAATTGTGGGAATGGTGTGGAGGACCACTGCCATCCAAGTGACTTACCACATATCCTCACTGCAAAGCAAGCAAGTTACTAGTCTGAGTGAAAAGCCTTGGGTTCTAATCTACAGCCCCTGATAAGGCAGCTGTGTGGACTGCTGGAGGGAAGGAGGTAGTGGAGTTAAGGGAGACACTTGAGTAGTAGCCTGAATTAACTCTGCAGTGAAAACACATCCTAAGTTAGTATTCCCCAGGCATGTATTTTGACATTGAGTAGCACACTCTTTGTTCACTTAATAGCACACTACAAACTAGACCTGAAGTATGCTAGGATGGTCTTTTAAAATAGGCATAACATCAAACAGATTTCAGGGGTACTGAGCAAGTTACATACTTACTTGTGTCCTTGTGCTATCTTTCCAGATAATTGCATTTCATGCATGGCCTGCAGCCGACACTTCACCAGTTCTGTAGGACATAGGACCAGGGCAGCAAATGCAGAGGCAAAAGAGCCTGAAACTGCATTCTGCAAGTCACTGCAACAAAGAAACTACAGATGATATTTGGACAGTGCTCTTCAGTCATATGACAACCTACTGAAAGAGCACTCATCTATTTGCTAAAACTTTCAGGAAATAAAGAAAAACTGAACAAGAGTCATTTAAAAAAGATGATCAATGTAACACCTAACTCCATCCATCATTATACACAGCTCAAATAAGTTCGTCTCCTTCCACAGATCTATAAATGTAAGTATAATATAATCTTTCCCATTTCTTGAAATTACAAGACACACAACCACTTTAATTAAATAAGATCTGAACCCAGATTTGGTATTTTCACAATAAAGATGAACTCAAGGTATCACAAAGCTTGTCAGAAATACCTTGTCAGGACCATGAGATTTTTAAAGATACTCCGGAATCATATTTCCATTTAATTTTAGCATCCATTTAAGAAACTTGGCTGTGAAAAGTACTTCCATTAGAACTCAGTGCATTTCTAATATACTACAAAAGCATCTTTAAAACCAACCAATTCAAGTGGATTCAGTAGTAGTGATCATTTAATTTATCATTAAGCTAGGGCTACATCTACACTAGAATGATCTTGCACAAGAACTCTTCTGCGGAAGAGTTCTTGTGCAAAAACTCTTCCAGAAGAGAGCGTCTATGCTGGCATGTGCGTTTGCGCAAGAGCATCCATGCCAATGTAGACACTGTTGCGCAAGAAAGCTGATGGCCATTTCAACCATAAAACTTTCTTGCACAAGAAATTAATGTTGCCTGTCTATATTGGCCTCTTGTGCAAGAACAATTGCGCAAGAGGGCTTATTCCTGAGCGGAAGCATCAGAGTTCTTGCACAAGAAGCACTGATTTCATACATTAGAACATCAGTGTACTTGTGCAAGTACTTGCGGCCGGTGTAGACAGGCAGCAAGTTTTTGCGCAAAAGCAGCTGGTTTTGTGCAAGATTGCACCAATGTAGACACAGCCTAGGAGTATATGGTTGAGTTGTGAATCATTTAAGGAAACAAGTTCACTTCACGTGTTAAGTCAAAGCTGGTTGAGCTTTTTTTTTTTAAATTCACTTTAATAGGAGATGTTTCTACTTTGGAGTAGTGATTTAACCCCTAGTATCTTGATTAGGATACCAGTCACTCGATAAAATTGGAAGCCTTTCATTCTATAAAGGAATTTCAAAGAATTAGCTTCTCTTGAGCATATGCAGTGCCCCTTGTAATGCATATATTAGAATTTCTAATTATATGCTATTTTTTCCCCCCAAAGCATTCCTGTCTTTCAATGAACAGGATCAACCTGTTCTGGAGATAACTCAGGGTATGTCTACACTACCCTCCTATTTCGAAATAGGAGGGTAGTGTAGACATACCCTTAGAGTAGTCAAGTAAAGGAGACTGTTAGATGTAGAACCCCCTACTTCATTTGTTGCAGAAGTAGAAAGGTGCATAGTTAATGAAAATTTATGCTCTCAGTTAAGGTAGTTCAGTGTGATGCTTGAAAACTGGCTGTGTCAGTTTGTATGTGGGTAAGTCACGTAAGTGGCCTCTAGTTGTGTGTTCATTTTCTGCGCATCTGACCTGAGACACTGGGGTCTGATTTCCAGAAGTGCTTAACACTCTCAGCTGCCACACAGTTTAATAGGCCCTGAGCTCTGGCTGTGTTAATGCTAAGTACTATTGGGGAGGGGGGGTGTCACCTCCTAGGTAGTTCAAATTGGGCACCCAAAACTAGGGGGTACTTTTGACTTCATCTCTGTGCCTCATCTTCCCACCCTTGATATGAGGATAATTCCAGCCTCTTGCCACACAGGTATTCTTCTGTTAATTTTCATAATGTCTGAGTGCTTGAAAAACACGTTGGAAAGAAGATAATGGAAGTGTCCATGAGAACCATGGGTCATCAGAATGGAATTTGGATAGCATGCAGTAAATAAGGTATGGGGTCATACACAGAGCAGTGAGGGGAAAAAAATATCAAAATAAGCTTGCGAGCACTATGCATTCAGTGAGGCAGGTGTCGCGGGGAAGAAGAGAGAACGTATGTAATCATATAAATGAATGGCTATACCTCAGCTTTATGGGGACCTAAATGAAATCTGCACAGGCAACCTAATTTTAGCAATTCCTAATTGAGTGCTTGACTTTTAGATATGAAGTGGGGATTTTACCATGAGCCATAACTCAGTTTTCTGACTCCTGTGTAAATTAAAAAAAAAACCCTACTGTGCTGTTTTTTCCTGAAGTCTCCTGTAAGGGAAAGGGGATTTAATGGTCATAGCAGCAGAATAAGAATCAGCAGAGCTTTCTATTCTTGGCTTTGCCACAAACTTCCTGCTATGAGGGACTGGTAATGCTTTGTTATCTGGAGAACCTAGACACTGTCTAGCTGCTGCAAAACTTAAATGCATTCATGTTTGGAAAGTGATTTGAAATCTACAAAAGGGAGATGCTACATGTCTGAAACCAAGGAATTTATGACAATGGCACAATACAATAGCAAGGGCTAGTACACCTCTAGCTAAGCAAAAGTACATAAGAATGGCCATACTGGGTCAGCCCAAAGGTCCATCTAGCCCAGTACCCTGTCTGCCAACAGTGGCCAATGCCAGGTGCCCCAAAGGGAATTAACAGAACAGATAATCATTAAGTGATCTCTCTCCTGTCATCCACTTCCAGCCTCTGACAAACAGAGGCTAGGGACACCATTCCTACCGATCCTGACTAATAGCCATTACTGAACCTAACCTCCATGAATTTATGTATTGGTGATAGGTCCCCCTAGCTAGTATATTTCACTAGCTACTTACACAGGAATCCGAGGTAATCAACCCAAACTACAGGGCCTCTCAGTTAATGTTTCAGGTATGCTGATTAACGGTACCAAACATATTAGGAAAGTTCAAGAAATGAATGTATTTAGTTACAGACTGGTGCAAACACAAGATGGGTGTGGAGGAATAGGGAGTCTTGTTTTCTAAAGATTGTAAGTTAGGGTAGCAAAGAGCCTAAGCATAGCGTCTCATACTTTCTGGCTGCAGTTATATTTAATTGAAAAATGATTTATTGTCGGATCATAATTTAGCAAATAGTCATCTGTCACTGAGGGAATTTGACCCCTAGATGCTATGTTGATTGGGACTGAAGTATTCTTAAGATTAAAAATCCTTATCCTCCATTCCTTACAAACCCCATAACAGACACTTTTTGGCATGCGTTCTGTCAACTGGGAGAGACATTTTTCCTCTTGCTGCTATGATAATTAATGTCCCAAAGCTAAACTGAGACACATATAGCCTTACAGGCTAGATAAGCCCCACTTCCTGTAAATTAAAATACAGATGGGTGGATTGGCTATTTTTAGAGTTAACAAAATTACAAGTTTATTTTGGAAAACTCAGACAATGAAATACCTGTATAGGAGGGTTCATAAACAGGTCAGAGAATTAAGAAACCAAAAGTTAAATTCAGTCCATTACTTTTCATATTTCCTTCTTCAGTCTGTAATCCCAGGGCACTGAACCCATGAAAAGTCATAGTGAAATCTGCTCTACAGCCTTATTTAAGGTCTGGTTGGTTTTCAGTTGATGCCATAGAGGGTCATGGCTTTAGCCCAGGGGAGGGAAACTTAAGACATGGGGGCCAGATGCAGCCCCCAGTTTGTCTGGATCTGACCCCTGAGGTTCAGGGCTCCCTCCCGGTGTTGGGGAGTCTGTGCTGGCACTCCAGTCCCTACACTGCCTGCCCATGGGACTGGAGCACACAAAATCTACTAGCCTGGGACCCCCTCCAGCTCTGGTGTGTGAGGAGAACGTGGGAAGTGTCTAAGATTTTGTGTGTTTGTTTTTGCCTCTTACTCATTGTGGCCTCCCCAATTGATTTTTCTGTTGGACAATGGCCCCAACCTAAAAAAGGTTCCCCACCCTTGCTTTAGCACTTATGGTCCCAGGTTCAATACTGCCTACTGACAGACCTGGGTCCGTTGGCATTACAAGTCCAAGAAACAATGAGGATTATGATTGCTGGAAGGCTAAAGCGGACAGCCTCTAGCATTGTATGTCTTTGGCAATGTGAACTCAGTGGATGTCTCTCAAGTCTGGAATTCACATTGGTCCAACAGAAAACTTGCAGATCTGCAAGGGATGCTGCAAGACCTTTGTTTAGGTAGGCTTTTTCCAAGAGGTGATCCAGTGGAATTTGGCAGGGTGCAGGTGTGTATTATTTGGATTACATTAGTTAACAGGGACTTCAACACTCTTATAATTGTGTTGTAAATGCAACTGGGCAATAGGGGCATCCTATAAGAGATGCAAAACTCAAGAAGTCTGATTAGTAAGATTCGTAGTACAGGCAGTCCCTGACTTACGCGGATCCGACTTATGTCGGATCCGCAGTTACGAACGGGGCTGCCCCAGAGTACACGGACTGCGGGACCTCGCGGTCCTGCCGCCCGTGTACTCTGGGGCTTTGCTCTGCGTCTCCCTGGTCTGCAGACCAGGAAGACGCAGAGCAAAGCTGCGGAGGGGCTCGGGCAGCGGGGCAGTCTAGGCGCTCCTGGGGT